CATGACTTTTAACCTCTTCAAAAGAATTGCTTATGTATAGTGAGACATCCAATATTTTGCTTTAAAAGGGTCATAAAACATCACACATTACTCGAGTATATACCGTGTTTAATTTTCAAGCGAATTATACTCGTATCTTGATTCGTCAAAAGAACTAACGCCCACTTAAAAATTATGTAATCTCATTCCCCCACCAACTTAAACTATATAATACTATTTAGCTTATAAAAAGTATAAATAATTTTTTCCAAAATTATTCAGCATTGCTTGAAAATTAAACAAAAAAATTAAATATTAAGTTAACTTTAAGATGTAGGATTTACTTTTGAAATATGGTAATTTTTCGTGACGCGATGAATGCATTTTTTAAATAATAATAATAATAATATATATATATATATATATATATATATATATATATATATATATATATATATATATATATATATAAGTTGTATGGATATGAGTTTGTGACCCTGGGTTTCAGGCTTTTGCGATCATCAGACTGGTTTATTTTTTATTTTTGCTTGTTTGACTGTTTATGGCGGGAGGGTGAATATACTTCTGTATTTGTTTGGGTGGGGGTACGACAATGCCCATAGACATACACATGCATGTGTACGCATTTATAATCCCCCCGCCCACAAACAATGTCAAACAAGCATAAATAGATCCGATTTTTAAAAAATAACCAGTTTGGTTATCCTAAAATCGTGTGTGTGTGTGTGTGTGTGTGTGTGTGTGTGTGTGAAGTCGCGCACACGATTTTAATCATGTATTGCTCGGTTTTATATGGCTGAAATTATATAATCACATCCTCTTCCTGTATACCCCCGCCCCCACCGTCTTGAAATGTCTACCTGCGCCCCCACTTGCATGCATCATCTGTTGGTATACTAAGCTACTCCCTCGTCATCTTTTTTACGTTATGTCCTTCGCAAGTGTTTGATTTCTTTTTAATAAAGGAATTCCATCGATAAAAATTTCTTGCGTGGTCGTTGCTCGGGGCTAAATTATTTCAATGTTTTAGATATTCAGTAAATTTTCCATGGCTGTAATAACTTTCAAATACTATGGCATAAATCTAATAATCAAACAAAAATAGGGATGAAGCGCCAAAGTTTGATTCAACTGCAGGTGCAAACGCATGAACGCCACCGTCCTCCTATGCACGTTTACTGTAAAACTGGGATTATATGACGTTCTTCGGAAATTTTTCACTTTTAACGGTTCAGCAACCTTTTTTAAACAATCTTTGCATTTAATGCCAATTGAGGATGGAATCATAAGAAGAAAGTATAGTTGGTCTTGACCTGCCTTACTAAATTTACAAAATGTGTGTACAGTTTCATTGAAATCGATGGCGAATGACTTTCATGTTTCAGTAATTCTTCAGGTGATGTTACATAACTAGTGATAAAAATTATTTATTAGGGTAATTTTTTAGGGCGGTGAATAAGGTCAGAATTAAAAATATACTTATGGGTATGTCTATATTAACCAGTGAACGTGAGGCCTATGCTAAAATATAAAAATAAGGTCAGATGTTGGAGGTGGGTGGGTTGTTTTTACATGTCAAGAAAAACTGATGCTTAGACATGTCATTCAACGATACTAGGAAACAATTTCAGCGACAAGTGTATTATTGATGCATCCAAGTATGATTTGTCGATTTGTTGAAGTAGATATAAATTAGAAACGGATTTTATTTTAAATTAAAAAAGAATGTTATACTTTGTAAGCTTCTTAAAGAGGCCAATAGGTAAAATCAAAAATGAGGAAACAACTATATAGTTTGTAATTATACTGAATAGACGGTAAAATATGGCAATAATATAGTTGAATAAATCAAATAAATGTTGGATGGACCATTATATACTAATAAAATAAAGGCTGTATAATTATAATATATAATTATTTATGAAAAATATTTTTTAACTATATATTAAAAGGTAGACAATGCCGGCATAAAACAGTTAATTCATTTCATTCCTTTAACATGTTTTTATTGTTAGGAAACTTTATAATATGCAATTTTTCTTGTAAAATTCTGACCTTATACCCCCGCCTTTATCTTACGAAAATAGATAAAAATTTGTTTTTAAATGACCCTAATAAATTATTTTTATCATTAGTTATCTACCGTCGCCCGAAGAAGTACCATCTTAGTACCGAAACATGAAAGTTTTTGTGTAGTAATGTAATTTTTTTTTTGTAATTTCTTTCAATAAAATATTATAATAATATTTTGTTTTACTTTGTATTGAGCAAATTTTTAAAATTAATAGCTACGAACTTTTGTTTTTTACTCCATCTTTTCTTTCTCTGATTGAGATATATAGTTTTGTCGCTGTAATTTTTTTTATTATATATTAAAGAATTCAACAATTATATAGTTTGTTAGTTGATTATTAACTGAAACCTGGTTTTAAATTTTCAAGGTATTGTGTTCGATCGATGTGATTAATATTCAACACTGAATTAAGTGCATTGACAAGGAAGATAGTGTTGAAGATTTAAAATAAATTGTTGTCATGAACAACGCACCTACCTCTTGTAATTTAAGTTTTGTTTTTTTTGTTTTTTGGTCACCGTTTTTAGACAGAAATAGAAAGGAAAAATATTGGAACAAAAGAAACAAAATAATCGAATCTCAATTTGTCTTTAAATGACACCAAAGAACAATTATAAAAAAATGCAAACAAAACGGACAAGAAATTAATTACTTCGTCTGAATTTTATAAATAAAAGTTGATGCCTTTTCTCCCTGGAGTCTTTATTGTTTTGACGAAATAGAAATCGTAAGAAAAGTTTATATCTGTCAAGAGACATTCAGAAATTACAAGTGAATTTACTTGACATTATATATTCAGCGTCAAGGTCTTCAGGATCATTAAGGAAGAGACCCTTCCTGATTTAACGCCAAACCAGATTAAAAATAACAAAATAATTATCTGTTTAAGAGAAGTCGTGTGTTTAGTGGTGAGATGCAAATTTTAAATTGAATTTTTTTACCAATCTTTGGATTATCCGTCTTTAATTGAGAAAATTGGAGATTTTATAGAAGATAAGAAAGGGAGATTGCATACGAAAAAGAAAAATGTGAGCGTCTAGATTTTATTCTATTCAAGATAATGGATCTGTTAGGTTGATGAGATTTTGGACATCATATGCTGTGATCAAAACATTAATGTAATCATATATATTTATATATATACGTGAGAGTGTATGCGTAACGCATCTATAGACATTGACAGACAATATATTTATGTAGTATGCATGTACCTAATACATAAATACATACAACATGCATAAGCCCAAAGTTAACTAAGATGTAATGGATTTTATTTTATTATATTTGGGAAGTAATAATCTATATCCAAGATATAGCTATACATCAGAGGTTCACATCCCTCCTTCTCAGCGTAGGGAACACCTCTTTCAATGGCAGCCTCCGAATATAGGACATGTATCCTAAATTAGCTGGCTTCTGATTTAGCCAATTCCTTAAAGGAGTTTTCATATTGTCATCCTCATCTGACATAGCTTCTTCAGGCTGCCATCTCTTTGGCAGAATGAGAGTGACATTCTTAAATTCGGAGATTTGAAAACGAAAAAGGTGGCGATAACGTTGATAAGTAAGAAAAGCTTCATTATGTTTCATATATTATTCATTTTTAGCGTTTTTTTTTTTATCGGCTCATAATTATAAACAGAATTTTCTATTTATATACCCTCCTCTTCTCTTCGCATATATATATATATATATATATATATATATATATATATATATATATATATATATATATATATAGTGAATGAAAAGAAACTCACTGTTTTATTTATGACTGGCCAGCAAGGAGACATGACTTAACATTCTATGACTTTTTTCTTTGGAGTTGGTTAAAGAAGTTAGTCTACTATGCCACAGCATGATTTTGGAAGAACTTGAATGGCATGGACAAAAAGTCATGTATTCCATAAAACAAGAGTGCCTGGTGAAATGGCGGTTCGAGAAGTTGGTAGCGAAATCTGGTGCCCATATCGATACATATATATATACAGAGAGAGAGAGAGAGAGAGTGAGAGAGAGAGAGACAGAGAGGCACGGTAATAGATAGAGGCTCGAATTGAGGGATTGGCGAGCCGAGTTCGAATTCCAGTCGCATCCATTACATTCACTTACGTGCTAACATTGGGAAAGGTATGAAACCTCCTGTTCTTCCACTAGCCGTGTGTACATAGCAGGACAGGCTGGGTTACTTGGGTGGCAACTGATCTAGAAAAAGGACAACACTGAATTCAAAACCTGATTCTCCAATTTGGGGGTTGTGCAGTAGGATAACAACATATTCACTTTAAAAAAAAAAACTGGCTTGATATAGAAATCACAACGCTATCTTCTGTCCTATATTCGTCAGGGAATTTAAAGCCATAATATATATATATATATATATATATATATATATATATATATATATATATTGTTGAGGGGGTCCACCCCTTTTTATACAAATGAACTACCCGGAGAGCAAGACCGAGGAGTCCAGAGTGACAGAGTAAAAGGTTGTAGGTAACCGGAAGAGTGAGGGGTGAGGTAACAGCGTTGTAGGAGTCACAGTGAGCGAGCACGTAGACTCAGTAAGAAGTCATACAGCGATACTTCAATACCAAAGACTGTATATATATTTGCTACTAATACGTATTCCTGGAATTACTAACCTGCTTTACCAGTTTCTATTATTACGTTAATACATTATTTTCCTATATTCCTTCTTGGCGTTTTTTATTTATTGGTACCGGATTTCATCCCGGAATCCACAACACACACACACACACACACATATATATATATATATATATATATATATATATATATATATATATATATATATATATATATTGTTAAGATTGATATCTTTATAGAGACGAACGTTCAAAATTGGTAATTAAGCGGTTATAGATACATACGCTGGGAATATAATAATCAATGTAGAAAGATGGGTGGCATTTTCATGATCAGAATTTTCCAGCAGGCTATCTTTCTCTCTGTCTATCTCTCTGTCTGCAATATCTCTCTCTCTCTCTCTCACACACACACACACACACACACAATGGAGAGAGAAAACAAAAACAAACTCGCCTTCCTGGATGTACTAATATCTCAAACAGGGCATGGGTTCAAGACATCCGACATTCAGCGGACAATAGCTCAACTTCAACTCCCACCACCCATGCAGTGTAAAGAAAGGGATCTTTCGCTGCTTACAACATCGAGCAAAAGTCATAAGTGTTGACCCTGAGGCATATGAACAAGAAATGGTCATTATAAGCAGTACATTACAACGTGAAAATTACCCTGGGTACATGATAGCAGCGCTGACAAACTGGCATAGAATGGTACCCTCTTAAAGGGAGACTGAAAGCACATATACATTGTTGCACGTAGTGAATTAAAAGTACGTGTTTGAGATATGAAACCAGATCCTTCTAGTTGTTTAGTTTAAGGTTAATAATTTGTAGTTATAAACTCTTTATTGCCTTATTATTTCCGTATTGTTTTATAATTTCTTTATCGTTTTATTATTTATTTTATTCATTCATCTATTCTATGTATTTCTTTGAATTACATATTTTTGTTTTCGATATTTTTCTGTTCTAAAACTGAAAAAGAAATATCGCATGATAGATTTAAGTCACGGGTCTAATACTCTGTTTGGTCACGAGGTGGTTATAGGTAGAGTAGAGGTAATTTGTTTCTACCGTTGGTAAATGATTTCGACCTTTTCTTTAGGTATTTATTTTCTTTTAGAAGATTTAAAATAGTTATTTTCTTTTTTAGGCAAGTGTTACTTGGTGTAGAGTAGTTGTTATAAACTGTACAATTTTTCCTATTTCCCCTGTATTGGTGCATTTTGTTTATTTTGTTATGATGTCTACTTCCAGAGAGTTGTGATATGAAATGATGCTTTGTATGAATATTTTGTGTTTTTCAAAGATATTCTGTTATTTTTATGTATATTATTAGGGATCCCTTTTGATCTTAAATTTGCTACGTATATTACTAAATCAATCAAGTTTCAGTTTAGCACAGATTTATTTTATTTTAGAAATGCATTGTTTTATATAATGTGATTTGCTTCTTCTGAGGACAATCTTCATTTATTTTGTAATTATTTCATCGTTAAGAAAAGTAAATATATAATTATTATATATGAAATTCGATCCACGATGGGCGAATAATACAAAAGTGTACTTTGATATTGGGCCCGGTTCATCAAAACTGATTTTACAATCTGACAGTTAAATCAACGTTTAATTTGCATCAGACTTTAAGTAAATATCACCTTGAATTTCACTTTTTGTTTTTTTAATGTATTTTGAATTCAGGATATTTTGCATATTAAACGAATGTTCAACATTAAAACGATATGCATATTTACAAAGAAGAATTAAATAAAATTTATGGAAATAATCCCATCCCTAAATCTAAACATTAGTCATATCTATTTCATATTATTGGTATTCTTCTCAGATTAGGGCGGGTCTATGCTCTATGTGATAAGTGGTTCGCTGTAGACTGAGAAGAACCCCAAAAAGGAAAGATACACGTTTTACACCTACGGCATCCTGTGCGTAAAAAGAAAAAGCGAGAGAAACAGGCATAGCAGTTGCTCGTTACTTTATAGCGATTATCCAAGCGCAGTTTAGATGTGGCACAAGGACGAAAGTAGAGGAGCACTCACTGAGGATCAAACTCACTAACCAGTTGTAATTGTTATAGCGATACAAGTTTGCTAACCATTGCACTACCTTATATGCTGCTTTGCAAAACTCCGCCAAGCGGCCGCAAATCGAAGTTGCTTTGCAGACAAGTGAGTTTACGTTAAATTGACTGTTTTTATTCATTTATTTTTAAATTTTAATTTAATTAAAGTTTAAAATGAGACTAAACTAGAATCTTACTTATTATAAAACGCAGATTGTGTGTGTGTCTGTAACGTTTATATATTGGATCGAATTTCCTACATTTTTCAACCGATTTCAACAAAACTTCACAGGACTACATAAAATTACCTTGCGGTGATTTTAACAGCGCCAAAATTTGCAAAAACTCAATTGTTTTTTGCAGAAAATCAATTTGAAAAGACGATTAAGAGGCATTAATGAAAGGGGAACAACTCACATCTGCTTAAAAACCCAGGTTGTTTGTGTGTGTGTGTGCGCGTGTGTTCATTTATATATGGGATCGGATTTCCTACAATTTTCAACCGATTTCAACAAAACTTCACTTTTTTTTTTTTTGGCAGGTAGTGTTTCTTATTTTCTTGCACACTTTTTTCTTTATTTTTACATTCAGAATGCTTTAAAAATTCCATTTACAAGACAATTGTTTAAAATTCTATTCAATCAGTAGACTCATAACGATTGAAAACAATGTTTTAGTTTGAGTTTGACCAATTCGTAAAAAAAAAGAAAAAAAAACTAATTAAGACATGCGTGTCCGTCAACCTTAAACAATAATCTAACGATCTCTACTGATTGCACGAATCCAAACATAAGATAATTCTTTAGGGCCGTTTTTATAATTCCCTTTGCAATTTGGTACAAGGCAACGATAATGAATTGCTTCTATTTGAAATTAATTCAATATTTAAAAAAAAGTATTAAGAAATAATTTAAAAATGCCGACGTAAGAATACTGATAGACAAAAATATTTCGAAGATGAAAATTATTAAGGAAAGAACACAGTACTTAACTTGTACCCAACTTTTCTGCTAAATTCCTTTTTTTTTTTTGGTTCCTGCAGGTAAGTCTTTTACGAGGGACTTCTGTATGTCTTGCTTAAGGGTTTACGAGAATTTTCGTTGTTTCATCATGACATTTTAAACTTCAATTATTGTCCACACGTTGGTGCTTTTCTGGCGCCAAGGTCATCCCCCTCTTCCTCTTACGGACGGCCTCCATACACGCACTAACGCAACAGGATACGCAATATTCGCTAAAGAGAGAGGGGTATTCTCTCTCTCTTCTTTCACGTAAGGTTTGTGTTGAGAGGGGACGGTCACTATTACCGACCTTTCCCTACATTAATGACAGCGATATCTACCGTGATTTCCTCTTTCGCTGGCCGATTTTTTTTAATAGAGAGTGGAACGTCACTCAAGGTCAACCATCTCTACTGCGTGACTCGGGCGTGCTTTCACACTTTTGCGTTTATTGTTGCCCACGTGCACGTACTTGGCTTACTTTATTCGCCAACTTCGGATACCGCAATTTGTTATTACGTGTTCTAGCTGCTTTTTTGTTTTATAGTTCCAACCCAACCCTACACACGTTAGCCAATTGTACTAAAAACCCATTTCCTTTTGGATTTTTACCCTTGGTTTACCTTTTTAAATTTCCACTTTTTAGTTTCGAGTTCACCTTGTATCATCTGAACTCATTTTACTGGGTGTTTCCTTTTTTGTGTCTACGTTAGCAGTGCACGATTTTTGGATTTGTCGAAATCTCTTTTTAGGCTATACCCTCTTTGACGTTTTTACTGTTTGGATGCCACCTAAAAGGAGGAAATTTTTGGGACGGCGCACGGCAGCTGCCTCCGCTGCTAGAGCAGCGAGGGCGAGTGAAACCCCTGAACAGACTTCTTTGCGTCTTTCACAGATGGCCTCGAGCTCAGCTGCTCGCTTATCCATGGAAAGCGCCGCTGCGCGGACTGAAAGGTTGGCTTCAGCGGCTTCAACTATGTCCTCACGCCGCACCAGGCTCTCAGTTGAAGAACGTTCACTTCAGAATTCACAGGGCGCAGTCCGCGTGGCTAGGTTGAGAGCTTCACAGTCCCCAGCACAGAAAACCCTTCGTCGTTTGCGTGATGCTTGCTCCAGAAGTTTAGAAAGCCCCGAACAAACAACTTCACGTCATCATAGGAATACTAGGGCTACAGCCGCCTCTAGAGCTTTGGAACAACCTCAAGAAACCGCTCATCGTCGCTTTAGAAATGCCCTATCCACCGCATCTGCCAGAGCCTTAGAAAGCCCTGCACAGACCACTGTTCGTCGCATTATAAATGCCCGCTCCACTGCATCTGCTAGAGCTCTAGAAAGCCCTGCACAGACCACTGTTCGTCGCGTTAGAAATGCCCGCTCTACTGCATCTGCCAGGGTTGCAGAAAACTCTGAAGTACGCCGTCAACGGCTCGAAAACATTAGCTCATTTCGAGCTTCTTTGAATGGCGTAACTTCGCCGTCTGCATCATTTTGGTCAAATGTCGCATACTATTATGACTGCACTGTCAACTATTCCGCTAGGAGAGACGTACAAATAGGGGCCATGGATAAAGTTTGCACTTTTGCAACGCAAAAAGTGGGCCGGTGAGCAACCTGGGCTTTGTTGCTCTGGGGGCAAAATCAAACTCCCTTCTTTAGACGAGCCTCCCCAGCCACTTAGGGACCTCCTTCTGGGTACAACTTCGGAGTCAACGCATTTTCTTGAAGCAATACGGAAGTATAACTGTTGCTTCCAGATGACGTCTTTTGGTGCGAAGGCTATTAGTGAATGGGGATGGATGCCTACTTTCAAAGTGCAAGGCCAGGTTTACCACTTAATGGGATCACTTTTGGCTGATCAGGGAGAGCCACCTCAGTTCCTACAAATTTACTTTCTCGCAGACTACAACGAGCAGGTTGATGCGCGTCTCGGCATTCTGCCTAGCGATATTTCCATCGGTCCCCGTAGAGACATTCTGTTCCGTCTACAAGACATGCTTCACGAAACTAACAGTTACATCCGAAGCTTACAGTTTGCGTTGCAAAACAACTCTTTGCCCTCTTTCAGTGTATTCATCGATGCAGACAGACGGTCTCACGGTGAGCATGCTCCTGTATGTAATGAAATTGCCGCAGTCATCCACGGTGAGGAGCATAACAGCCGTGACATTGTCATAAAATACCGGGGCGGTGGTCTGCGCCGCATCAGTGAAACCCACCGTTCATACGACTGTCTCCAGTACCCACTTCTTTTTCCATACGGAAGCGATGGGTACCATTTCAAAATCCCAATATACCAGGCAAGCAGCGATTCCATGTCGACCTCAAAGACGGTTTTCATGTAGGGCTTACTACACCTACATGTTTATGGTTAGGGAGGGTGAATTTAACCACTTGCACAGGTGCCGTCAACTATTTCTTCAATTTGCTGTTGACATGGTTGCAAAAATGGAGTCGGAGAGGTTAGGATTCATCAAGTTAAACCAATCCAAACTTCGAATTGACTCCTACATTCACCTTTGTGATGGTCTGCGTTCTGATGGTGACCGACGCAATCTCGGCAAACCGTGCATTTTGCCTTCCTCTTACACTGGTGGCCCTCGATACATGCATGAAAGGGCACAAGACGCAATGACCTATGTCCGTCATTGTGGGAGGCCTGATTTGTTCATCACGTTCACGTGCAATCCGAAATGGGTTGATATTACACGCGAACTTTTTCCAGGTCAGCAGTACTCCCTGACCTAATTGCCCGCGTTTTCCGGTTACAGCTGCTTAAGCTTATGGATTTGATCTTTAAAGGGCAAGTCTTCGGACGCGCCAAGTGTCATATGTACACAGTGGAATGGCAGAAACGCGGTTTGCCTCATGCTCACATCCTGCTGTGGCTCAACGATAAGGTTGACGCAAACAAAATAGACGATTTTATTTCTGCTGAAATTCTCAGAAACGCAGACTGCGACGGATGGTTACCCACTGTACAGACGTAGAAGCCCCGCTGAGGGCGGCAGAACTGTCACAGTTAAGGGGCACACTCTGGACAATCGTTGGGTGGTGCCTTATTGCCCGCTGCTGTCCAAGACTTTTGGAGCCCACATAAACGTTGAATACTGCCACTTGGTTAAGTCAATAAAGTACATCTGCAAGTACGTTAATAAAGGCAGCGATGCTGCCGTCTTCGGTGTCCGGCGCGACAATTGAGTTGACGAGGTGGCCGATTACGTGGCTGGACGCTATCTCAGCAGTAGCGAGGCCTTTTGGCGAATTTTAGGATTCCCCATACACCAAAGGGCTCCAGCCATTGTGCAGCTTGCTGTTCACTTTGAAAATGGACAGAGGATGTACTTCGCCGAACAAAACGCCCAGCAGGTTGCGGAAAACCCTAAAGACACAACCCTAACGGCTTTCTTTAAATTATGCTCAACAGATGTTTTTGCCAAAACATTGATATACCCCCAAGTCCCGTCCTACTATGTGTGGTCAAACAACCGGTGGGTTCGACGAAAGGCTGGTGACCCTGTCGAGGGTTATCCCGATGTAAGGTCTAACTTTTGCCTTGGACGCGTTTATACTGTGCCCCCCAGCCAGCAGGAGTGCTTTTACCTCCGCCTTCTACTTCATAAAATTGCTGGGCCAACGAGTTTCACAGATGTTTCGCACTGTCAAAGGCATAGAATGCCAGTCTTATAGAGAGGCATGCTTCCGTTTGGGATTGCTTGAAGATGACTCCCAATGGGATGCAGCCATGGCGGAGGCTGAACTTCTCAGAACGCCATCACGGCTTCGAACGCTATTCGCCATTTTGCTTTTGCGATGCGAACTAAGCGATCCTCTTTCGCTCTGGCTAAAGTACAGAAAATCCATGTCAGAGGATGTGCTGTTCTCCGTTCAGCGTAACAGCCCATGAGTTGAATGCATTTTCACTGACTTCATAATAAACAGAGCGCTGGTGGCCCTAGAAGATGTTGTTTTCGAACTGGGAGGTGTCTCTTTACCAACTTACGGTTTACCACCACCGGTCAGAGATGGTTTTGACACTGTACCAACTGAGTTATTGCGGGAAACATCCTACTCCATCGAGGGGCTGAACGCATACATTACCGAAAATGAGCCCAAACTTCTACCTGATCAGAGAGTTGTTTTCACTACTATAACAGACAGGGCAAACGGCGCCACTGGAGGTATATAATTTTTAGACGCGCCCGGAGGAACTGGCAAAACTTTTGTTACCAAATTAGTCCTGGCAGAGGTACAGCGTCGTGGGGAGATCGCTATTGCGGTCGCATCTTCCGGGATTGCTGCAACATTGCTACCGGGAGGTAGAACCGCTCATTCGGCTTTTAGGTTGCCGCTTGATCTATGCCGGTCACAAACTCCTCTCTGCAACATAACAAAGAATTCGCCACAGGCTGAATTTTTACGGAGATGCAAACTTATAGTTTGGGATGAGTGCACGATGGCACACAAGGGCGCCCTTGAGGCACTTGACCGAAGTCTCCAAGACATCCGCGACTCCTCCGACCCCATGGGTGGAGTAACACTTCTCCTCGCAGGCGACGTTAGACACACTCTACCTGTTATTCCTAAAGGTACATGCGCTGACGCTGTCCACGCCTGCCTGAAGTCGTCTGCCCTTTGGCACCACGTGGGGACTCTTAAACTGACCACGAACATGCGTGCCTACTTGAATGGGGACTCCAGATCCGCTGATTTCGCACGGGACCTTCTTGCTCTTGGGGAGGAGAAAAATGCCATCTGACACACACGGTTTTGTGAAGATGGATCAGCTTGCCACCAATGTTGAATCACCGGATGTATTGATGAATGCAGTCTTCTACAACCTATCATCTAATTTTGCCGATGCCGATTGGCTTGCTGAGAGAGCCATATTGGCACCGAAGAACTGTACAGTTGATTCCATCAACCTTAAACTGTTGGATTGCATTCCCGGGCAATGTCATGTTTATAAGTCCATCGACAGAACTTCCGATTCATCCGAATTAGCTGAGTATCCCATAGAAGACTCCCACCTCATATTCTTCGTCTCAAAGTTGGTGCTTCGATTATGCTAATCAGGAATTTGCTCCCACCTAAACAGTGCAACGTGACTCGCCTCATTATTAAATCCCTTTCTCCGAACCTGATTGAGGCGACCATTGCAACTGGCTGCGGCAAGGGGGAAGTCGTTCTGATTCCCAGGATGCATCTTCTGTCGTCAGACGCAAGCATACCAATCAACTTTCGTCGCTCACAATTTCCCGTGAAGATTTGTTTTGCTATGTCGATTAACAAATCACAAGGACAGACGCTTAGCATCGCAGGTCTGCATTTACGTGAGCAGTGCTTCTCTCACGGCCAACTTTACGTTGGGTGCTCACGAGTTGGGTCTAAGGACAGGGTTTTCATTTACTCTCCCAACAACTGTGCTAGAAACATAACCTACACGGAGGTCCTGTAGACAACCCGCCCGGTAGCGTTTAAGCACCATGCACACATATGCAGTCCGATTGCATGGCAATTTTTGTGTTTGTCATATTGGTTTTAACGTTAGGTCATCGTAGTCTCCACTTGCCATTACTAAGACGTCTTTGTAAATGTTATCCAGCTCTTTTGTTGCCTTCTGACTTTCATACCATCACCCGCCATCATCGCGTTTGTTTTCCCTTCAATCCCTATGTATGTTGAAACTGAATCGTGGTTTCAGGACTACTTACCACAAGTGCTTTGAGTAATGCTTAACGATCCAATAGGTTAAAGCAGTAAGTGCTGCCAGCTTTTACTCATAGATGTCTTAGTAATGGCAAACGGCTTTCCGTTACTTCCTTCGATACCTTCGAATACTTGGGCCTGCATGATGTCTGCCTAAACTTTGTGTGCGTAGCGTTTCAACGTTTTGTAGAAACTTAGATCCTGTCGACTTACAAAGCACATCTTTCAAAGCAACAGCCGTCCCCAACTCTTACTGTTACATCCCCGGGCAACGCCGGGCTCTACTGCTAGTATTAAATAAATATTCCATTTCTTCGTTCTTTGTTTAATAATTTACCAAAAGCGTCTCGTTTATTTTTTTTAAATGTTTTTGTTTTTTGCATTTTCCTTAATGTTAATAAATAACGGTAAATTATTGGACAAAACAATTCGTGATATTTAGATTATTACTTTTTATGAAGTATATTGAAAAAAAATAAACATTTTTCCACGAAATGTTATGTCCGTTTGACGTCAACATTTCGTCCTCCATTTTCTAAATGTCGTAACGACTTTCACAGGAGAAAATGGGATTATTTGAGAAAATAAACAACTTATAAAAGCCACAAAGAAACGAATTCTTTACAAAGAAAAGAAAATATCAAATTGGGAATGAATAACAAAACAGTTATTTTACAAATTGATTATGTTTCGGAAAACTAAGTGCATGAAGTCGATTTGGCTAGAATATAAGACGTTTAATTGGCAAGTAGTTTCAAAGACGACAATACACAGATGTAAGAAGCACTAACCATTGATATCAACCTTTCTCTCTCTATATATATATATATGTGTGTGTGTGTGTGTGTTTAAAATAGCAAATAGAATCCGGACAAATTTTTTAAGAAACTTAACAAATGGGTAACGTTTAATTGAAAATAGATTTGATTACGCATTTCGCCTTTCTAGGCTTCATCAGATCCAAGAACGAAAGAAAGTAATATGTTTCTGGGTATTTGAGAGTATGCCTAAATAATGAATCATAGTACCTTTTTTTTCCCTAAGCTGCCATTTCTCGTGTTTAAAGAAGAAAGAAATTGAGTGATTTTATAAAAGCCGTTAATATTCATTCTGTATATTTTCTTTATAATTATTAGTTCATGACGAAAGTTATTAATATATGTTTCCATTACTTTTTTTTGTATCGAATTAAAAGTAATTTCTCATCTCATTTTCAGAATTGCTCCAAAGCAAAAGATTCGTAGAGCTTGTCTGAAATTATTCCAAAGCAAATACTATTACAATCCTTCATATCGGTTGAAAGGAAACCATTTTTTTATGTTTTTATGTTTAACCATATATATATATATATATATATAAGAACGTGTTTTATTTGAAAAAGTATAACTTATTTTAATACGGAAACTTGTTTAGCATATTTGAGTTTGTTCTTCTATTGTCTATTAACCCTAACCTTTCATCTTATAGAATAATCACGCAAATAAGGCTGTAAACTTCACGGAACAAACGTTCGGATAACAAATT